AAAATTGCAAAAATTGCAAAAATGACTGAAAATTGCAAAAATCGCAAAAATGACTGAAAATTGCAAAAATCGCAAAAATGACTAGAAAATTGCAAAAATCGCAAAAATGACTGAAAATTGCAAAAATCGCAAAAATGACTAAAAATTGCAAAAATCGCAAAAATGACTGAAAATTGCAAAAATCGCAAAAATGACTGAAAATTGCAAAAATCGCAAAAATGACTGAAAATTGCAAAAATCGCAAAAATGACTGAAAATTGCAAAAATCGCAAAAATGACTGAAAATTGCAAAAATCGCAAAAATGACTAAAAATTGCAAAAATCGCAAAAATGACTGACAATTGCAAAAATCGCAAAAATGACTGAAAATTGCAAAAATCGCAAAAATGACTAAAAATTGCAAAAATCGCAAAAATGACTGAAAATTGCAAAAAACGGAAAAATGACTGAAAATTGCAAAAATCGCAAAAATGACTGAAAATTGCAAAAGTCGCAAAAATGCCTGAAAATTGCAAAAATCGCAAAAATGCCTGAAAATTGCAAAAATCGCAAAAATGCCTGAAAATTGCAAAAATCGCAAAAATGACTGAAAATTGCAAAAATCGCAAAAATGACTGAAAATTGCAAAAATTGCAGAAATGACTGAAAATTGCAAAAATCGCAAAAATGACTGAAATTTGCAAAAATTGCAAAAATGACTGAAAATTGCAAAAATCGCGAAAATGACTGAAAATTGCAAAAATCGCAGAAATTCCTGAAAATTGCAAAAATTCCTGAAAATTGCAAAAATCGCAAAAATTCCTGAAAATTGCAAGAATAAATGACTGGAGATTGCAAAAATCGCAAAAATTCCTGAAAATTGCAAAAATCGCAAAAATGACTGAAAATTGCAAAAATCGCGAAAATGACTGAAAATTGCAAAAATCGCAGAAATTCCTGAAAATTGCAAAAATTCCTGAAAATTGCAAAAATCGCAAAAATTCCTGAAAAATAGCAAAAATTCCTGAAAATTGCAAAAATCACAAGAATGACTGGAGATTGCAAAAATCGCAAAAATACCTGAAAATTGCAAAAATCGTACAAATTCCTGAAAATTGCAAAAATCGCAAAAATGCCTGGAAATTGCAAAAATTGCAAAAATGCCTGAAAACTGCAAAAATCGCGAAAATTCCTGAAAATTGCAAAAATGCCTGAAAATTACAGAAATTGCAAAAATTCCTGAAAATTGCAAAAATCGCAAAAATTTCTTAAAATTGCAAAAATTCCTGAAAATTGCAAAAATTCCTGAAAATTGCAAAAATCGCAAAAATGACTGAAAATTGCAAAAATCGCAAAAATGACTGAAAATTGCAAAAATTGCAAAAATGACTGAAAATTGCAAAAATCGCAAAAATGACTGAAATTTGCAAAAATTGCAAAAATGACTGAAAATTGCAAAAATCGCGAAAATGACTGAAAATTGCAAAAATCGCAGAAATTCCTGAAAATTGCAAAAATTCCTGAAAATTGCAAAAATCGCAAAAATTCCTGAAAAATAGCAAAAATTCCTGAAAATTGCAAAAATCACATAAATGACTGGAGATTGCAAAAATCGCAAAAATTCCTGAAAATTGCAAAAATCGCAAAAATGACTGAAAATTGCAAAAATCGCGAAAATGACTGAAAATTGCAAAAATCGCAGAAATTCCTGAAAATTGCAAAAATTCCTGAAAATTGCAAAAATCGCAAAAATTCCTGAAAAATAGCAAAAATTCCTGAAAATTGCAAAAATCACAAAAATGACTGGAGATTGCAAAAATCGCAAAAATACCTGAAAATTGCAAAAATCGTAAAAATTCCTGAAAATTGCAAAAATCGCAAAAATGCCTGAATATTGCGAAAATCGCAAAAATGCCTGATAATGCAAAAATCGCAAAAATGCATGAAAATTGCAAAAATGCCTGAAAATTGCAAAAATTGCAAAAATGCCTGAAAACTGCGAAAATCGCAAAAATTCCTGAAAATTGCAAAAATGCCTGAAAATTACAGAAATTGCAAAAATTCCTGAAAATTGCAAAAATCGCAAAAATTTCTGGAAATTGCAAAAATTCCTGAAAATTGCAAAAACTTCTGAAAATTGCAAAAATCGCAAAAATGCCTGAAAATTACAGAAATTGCAAAAATTCCTGAAAATTGCAAAAATCGCAAAAATTTCTGGAAATTGCAAAAATTCCTGAAAATTGCAAAAATTCCTGAAAATTGCAAAAATTCCTGAAAATTGCAAAAATTCCTGAAAATTGCAAAAATCGCAAAAATGCCTGAAAATTGCAGAAATCTTAAAAATTCCTGAAAATTGCAAAAATCGCAAAAATGCCTGAAAATTGCAAAAATCGTAAAAATTCCTGAAAATTGCAAAATTGCAAAAATGGCTGAAAATTACAAAAATCGCAAAAATGACTGAAAATTGCAAAAATTCCTGAAAATTGCAAAAATAGCAAAAATGCCTGAATGTTGCAAAAATGACTGAAAATTGCAAAAATCGCAAAAATGCCTGAAAATAGCAAAAATCGCAAAAATTCCTGAAAATTGCAAACATCGCAAAAATGACTGAAAATTGCAAAAATCGCAAAAATGACTGAAAATTGCAAAAATCGCCAAAATGCATGAAAATCGCAAAATTTCCTGAAAATTGCAAAAATCGCAAAAATTCCTGAAAATTGCTAAAATTGCGAAAATGCCTGAAAGTTGCAAAAATCGCAAAAATTCCTGAAAATTGCAAAAATCGCAAAAATGCCTGGAAATTACAGAAATTGCAAAAATTCCTGAAAATTGCAAAAATCGTGAAAATCCCTGAAAATTGCAAAAATGTCTGAAAATTGCAAGAATTGCAGAAATGCCTGAAAATTGCAAAAATCGCAAAAATGCCTGGAGATTGCGAAAATTGAAAAAATTCCTGAAAATTGCAAATATCGCAAAAATGCCTGAAAATTGCAAAAATCGCAAAAATGCCTGAAAATTGCAAAAATCACAAAAATGCCTGAAAATTGCAAAAATCGCAAAAATGCCTGAAAATGCAAAAATCGCAAAAATGCCTGAAAATTGCAAAAATGCCTGAAAATTGCAAAAATCGCAAAAATTCCTGAAAATTGCAAAAATCGCAAAAATGCCTGAAAATTACAGAAATTGCAAAAAATCCTGAAAATTGCAAAAATCGCAAAAATTCCTGAAAATTGTGAAAATTGC